CCGAGTTGGCACCATCATTGCGCTCTTCCTGGGTGAGGCAGATCAGTTGCCGGCTTCTGGACAGCCGCTCACTGCAGCTGCTGGCCGCTCACGCTGGCTGCTGGCTACACACAGTAGCCCATGGCAACCCACTGCTCGCGGACTGCTCATGGCAGCCCAGCTCCAGGTTGAGTTGTTGTTCAGCATCTTAGCTGTGGAGGGCAGTGTCACTGGCCCTCATATGTGAGATCCGAACCGGGGCCCTCTGGCGTCTCAAGCCAGCTCTTAATCAATGCGCCACTTGGCCAGCCCTCATAACTCTATCTTTAAATTCACTGACCTTTCCTTCTGTAGCATCTAATCAGCTGTCAAGCCCATCCAATGATTTTTTCATTTCATGTATGTATTTTTCGGTTCTAGAGCATTCATTTGTATCTCTTTTATAGTTTCCATTTCTCTATTGAGATTCTCTATTTGTTCCTCACTAAGTTCATGTTTTCCTTGAAATCCTTGAACATATTTATAAAAGCTATTTTCAAGTCTTCGTTTGCCAATTCCATTATTTCTGTCCATTTTGAGCTAATAAGCTCATTTTAAAATTTTATTTATTTATTTATTTTTACTGGTTATGGCCACATTTTCTGCTTATCTATCTGTCTAGTAATTTTTTATTATATGCTGGACATTATGAATGTTATGTTGTTGAGTGTATTTTGCCATCTTCCCTGATAGAGTATTGAGTTTTGTTCCAGCAGGCAGTTAATTTATTTGGGAGTCAGCTTTGTCTTTTCAAGGCTGGCTTGCTTGCTTGCTTGCTTATTTATTTATTTATTTACTTATTTATTTATAATTGGGGAATTGGGGGAGGGGAACAGCATTGAGGAATTGGGGAAGGGGAACAGACAAGTTGCTGTCCTTTTGTTCTTCAGTCTAGTTGTGGAGGACACTGCTTCACTGGCCTATGTTGGTATTATGATCATTGCGCTCTTCCCAGCTGAGGCAGTCGGTCGCCGGCCATTGGACGGCCACTCATGGTGCTCATGGCATCCGGCCGCTCACGCTGGCTGCCAGCCATTCATGGTAGCTTAGAGCAGCCCACTGCAGCCTACGCTGTCACCAGCCACTCACGGCAGCCCAGCTCCAGGTCGAGCTGTTGTTCACAATCTTAGCTGTAGAGGGTGCAGCATCACTGACCCATGTGGGAACCGAACCAGCAGCCCTGCTGCTCACAGCTATTGCTCCCAAGCCAACTCTTAACCAACTGAGCCACTCGGCCGGCCCTTAAGGCTTATTTTTGAGCTTAGCTGCAATGGGTCTAAGGTTGCCCTTACTGTAGGGCTAGATTAGTTCTACTTATAAAGCATGGCTTTTCTAGAATTCCCACAGAATGCTCAGTGTTCAGTGAGCTCTCTCACTCTGGCTGTTTGGAACTCTCAGATCTCCTAACCCAGCCCTGATAATCTGTGGTAGTGGTTCAGCTAACAGTTCCCAAAGAGTCTTTTTTTTTTTCCTCTGAAAGTTATATTTTGCCCTGCCTCATGGGGTCTTGCTGTATGTATGTGTGTGAAGTTTAGGACTCAGCCAAAGTCCAATTTTTGGAGCTCCTTCTCTGCACGGCTTCATTTTCTCTGGTATTTTCTTGACATGCGAATTCCTGATAGAGGGAGATTCAATTGCTCTGAACTATCTTTGCCTCCACAGTCCAGAAAGTACCTCCAGGCGCTCGTCTCCTTTTTTTCTTTCTCCTCAGGGATCACAGTAACTTTCATATATTTTATCCACTTTTCATAGTTGTTTATGGCAGTTACTCTAACTGGTATAGTTATTTATACCAGTTTCTCTATCATGGTCAGAAGCAGAAATCCCATTCTTTTGTATGTTTACACTCACATTTTTACACATTCCAAAGACAGTATATTTTAATATTTTGCATGTATTTTAAAAATTTTACTTAAGTGGTATTATGTTGTTCATATTCTTCCATATCTTCCTTTTATACTCAACATATATTTTAATTGCTGCATTCATTCAGTCGCTTAAATATTTGAGTCTTTCGATTGTTAAGTGTAAGGCACTGGGTGTACAGTTGCATAAAATGGAAAAAGTCCCATTCTCATGGAGCTTAGAGTCTAGTTGAGGCGGCAGATAAATATATATGTGTGTATATATATATATATATATATATACACACATATATATTTATCACTGTATGTTGTTCCCAGAACTTCATAGTAAATCAAATCACATTTTATGATAAGGGAAAATGTTTACTACAAAATTCAACAATAAACCCCTATACTCGTTTAAAATATAAAAATATAAAATATATAGTGAAAAGAGCATTGGCTTGGATTTAGATAGACCTAACTTCAAATTACAGGTGGGCTAACTTGCTATGTAAAACATATATACATATATATATGTATATATATGTATATGTATATGGTGAGACAGCAATAAGCGCAATAAAGAAAATGAAAATGACTGGAGGAGAGGGCCAGACCAGGTCTCAGAAGAAGTGAGGTGATTTTTGAGCAAAAAAATCAGAGACCTAAGAGAAGGTGCGAGCCATGCAGATGTCTGGGGGAAGAGAATTCCAGGAAGAGGAACTGGGTGTGCTGAAAAGTCATTTGAGGGTTTCAAAGGAAGGGTATGACATGATCTCACTTATGTTTTAGAAAGTTCTATCTGGTTGCTGTATGGAGAATGGATACCGGGAGGAGGCAGGGAGGCTGCTGCAGTAATTCAGGCAACAGGTGACTGGTTTAAATCAGGGAATAGCAATGGAGATGGGAGTAGTGGTCTTACTTGGAATGTAGTTTAAAGGTAGAGCCAACAAAATTTACTATTAGGCAAATGTTGAGAGTGAGACAAAGAAGGATCAAGAACGATGCCAAGGTCATTGGCCTAAGGAAGGAGACAAATGAAATGGCATAAACTGAGACGGGGAATGTTTTGGTGACGAATGAATAATTCTGTTTTGGATATGCTTAGGATAAAATAACTACCAGGTAACTAAGGGTGACGTCCTATAAACAGTTGGATATCATGTCTGGAGTTCAGGTGAGCATCTGGGATTGGAGATAGTATTTACACATCATCAATGAAGAGATGGCTTTTAAAGCCATGCTGCTGAATGAGGCCCCCTGGGAACTCAGTATGGAGGAGAGAGGTGGTCATTGGCCTCAGCCCTGCGAATGCCAATACTTAAATGTGAGGTCTTCCTCTTAAGGGATCCAGCAAGAGAGACTAGCAAGAAGCAACCACTGAGGTGGAAGGAAAACCAGGGGAGTGTGGAATCCCAGTGAAGAAACCAATGAAGGGAGTGTTTGAAAAAAGGAGTGAACCTCTGTGTTCAGAGCTGCTGAGCGGGTGCATGTGGCTATCCTCAGTGATATACAGAGACGTAGTTCATTCATTTTAACTGCTATATAGTATTCCATCACATGAATAGAGGAGATTCCTTTCTCTGCTTCCCACCATGTGGGAGAATATTTGCAGTGAGCATTCTTGAACATGTCACCGAATTGAGCACATGTGGGCAGGTTTTTATTTGGAGCCTTTCTGGGGATAGAATCATTAAGAAAGATATGCACAAACTTCATCTTTGACAAAACAATACCATATTGCTTCCAAAAATAGTGGGGCCAGTGTCTGTTCGTACCTTCGGTGTTCAGGAGACCCCACTGTTTCACGCCTTCACCAACATTTGTTAATGTAGACTTTAACATTCTTGCCAATCTGAGGAGTGAAAGATGTGTGATTGTTACTTCAATTCGCATTTTCCTGAGTGCTAGTAAAGTTGAGTGTCTTGGCCATTTGGGTCTCCTCTTAAATGACCTGCCAGTTAATGTCCATTACCTAGTTTTCCATGGAGTTGTTTTTTTGGGGGTAAGATTTCTTTATGTATTCTGGACACTAAATCTTTGCCTAGTAAGTACATTGCAGATATTTACTGCTAATCTGTGGTGTGTCTTAACTTTGTGTGTGCGAGCGCACATATGCGTTTGTGTATATGAGACACAAAAGCTTTCAGTTTTGATGAGTCAGATTTATCCATTTGTTTTCTATCATATGTAGGCAATGTCCCTGTCCTGAAGTCATGAGAATGCTTACCTATATTTTGTTCTAAGACTTTTAAAGTTTAAAAAAAATACATTTAATATATGTTAGTGCCAATGCTTTTAAAATTTATTCTGTGTTTGGTGTGAGGAAGGGGTCTTTTATTTAACCTCTCCAGCCTTTTCTGACTGATCTGGATGGCCACCACCATCACAATAGGTTCCCACAGGGACCAGATCTGCTTTGGGCTCTCTTTTCCAGTTCCACTGATCACATTGCCTATTCTTTTACCCATACCTGAAAGTTTTCATTATTGAACTTTATAAAAATTTTATTATCTGGGCAAAGAGGGGAGGATTATTTGCTTTTTGCTTTGAAGTCGTCTGTCTTTAAACAGCTGTCCATAGTATACTTAAAAACAGCACTGACTAAGCTTAGGAAAACTCCGTTTGCTGCTCACCTTTCAAGGCCTGATCTGTGGCATGAAGGTGGTGGAGGTGTCGCTTTTCTGTGAAGCTGTGGATACTTTTACTTTTGGCTTTCCCTTCCCCTGGCCCCATCAACTCTCACCTCCGGTTTTTCAGGTTATGATGTCTGTGAACCATGGGGCGGCTCTTCCGGTCTTCCCACGTGGGCCTGTGGTGGGTATTTTGTGACGGGCTGTAGTACCAATTCCGTTGGTTATTGCCAACCAGACCACAGTGATAGGCTTGACGGGGTCTGGAGTTTCCTGTTGCCTCACTGGCACTGAGAACCTGGATTCCAAAAATAACAGCACAAGAAACCACCGTGACCCCATGGTCTCTGCTCACACGGTGCTCTGAGCACCAGGCCTGTCTCCATCCCTGTGACACGGCCCAGCCGGGGCCCTGCTTCCCGCCACAGACGTGGGGTCCGAGTGGTCTGCACGGGCTCCGAGGGCCACCCTGCCTGACGCTCACTCTGTCTCCTTCCTTCAGGCAGTCACCCGCAGGGCCAAGGTGGCTCCCGCCGAGAAGATGAGCAAGTTCTTGAAGCACTTCACCGTCGTTGGGGACGACTACCATGCCTGGAACATCAACTACAAGAAGTGGGAGAATGAAGAAGAAGAGGAAGAGGAGGAGCAGCCGCCGGCAACACTGGCCTCCAGCGAGGAGGGCAGAGCTGCTGACCCAGCGGCAGCCCCTGCCTCCGCGCCTAGGCGCCCCCTAGACTTCAGGACCACGTTGAGGAAGCTCTTCAGCTCCCACAGGTTTCAGGTAGGTGGGCAGAGATGCCCAGGGTGGGGCAGAGCCCTCAGCTGAGAGTCACGAGGCCAGGGCGGGGAGGGCTCATCTCTGCCATTGCCTCATTCGTTGTGCAGATGTCCCCCCGAGCGCGGGCCATGTGCCAGGCGCCCATACAGCACTGGGTACCTGGGCAGGTCCCATGTTGTCAGGGATTAAATAAATCAGAATCCAAAAGTCAAAGGGCCATCACCTGATGAATGGATAAACAAAGTGTGGTCTACTTATGCTCAGCCATAAAAAGGAAGGAAGCACCGACACACACTGACTACCACAAGGATGAACCACGACAACGTGATGCTGAGTGAAAGAGGCCAGGCAGAAAAGGTCACATATTGTATGATTCCATCTATATGTGAGGTCCAGAACAGGGAAATCCATAGAGACAGAAAGCAGAACGGTGCTTATCGCAGGCTGGAGGAGGGAACAACGGGCAGTGACTGTTTAGTGGGTACAGGGCTCCCGTTTGGGGTGATGAAAATGTTCTGGAACTACACAGCGGTGACAGTTGCACAACCCTAGGAATATGCTTTAATGCCACTGAACTTCGTGCCGACTTTAAAATGGTTAAATAGTAAATTTTATGTCACGCAGGCTTTACCACACACGCCGTAAATTAAAGGGTAAGTTTTGAGGCAGAAACGACATTCCTGCATTTATTCAGCAAACATGGCCTGCTGTCCCTGAGTTGAACAAGGCCAGGAGGGTCCCATGCCTCACTGACTCATCACCATGAGGGCCTCAGTCTCTTCTTTTGTGGAATGATACCCAAAATATCTGCCTGCCTCGCTTCACGTACCCCCCGACCTCCAACTGTGGTGATGGGGAGGACATGAGAGGGAGACGTGGACTTCAAAGAATAGTGAAGGGAGTGGAACATTCTACAGGGTTGCGACTCTGTCCTAACATGTTGTGAGTTTGAAGGACAGGTGCAGGTTGAGTCTGGCCAGCCCTCTGAACACCCCCCCTGCGCCCCCCCCCAGCCCTGAGGTGGGCAAGCCGGTGAACAGAAGCATGTCTGAGTCCCAGGAGAATGCTGGAGGCTCAGGGACGTTAGGGAAGTATGCAGCCCCTTGTCAGCCCAGTTCCCAAATGGAGTTATTTGGGGGACCCTGCTGCAGGCATCCCCCTAAACCGAAATAAACCAGTTCATACCAAGACCCAGTGTCCCTTCTGGAAGCAGAGAGAAGCCACCCTTGCCTTTCCCATCACTGACTTGGTTCCAGGGTAAAACAGAAAAAAAATTTTTTTTTATTTTGGTCTTTTTTCACTTTCATGTGGCTTAGAGAAAGAATGCAGGCCAAATAAGCCAGCACTCCTTACAGCGCAGCTCTTCTCTCTGTGGCTGTTGACAGGAAAGGAAACGTGGTATTAAGTTGTTGGGGTTGAAATCCCAAACCCTCAATTTCAGGAGCAGAAGGAAGGAGCCAGCTTCCTTCCAGCTGCAAGAAGAGCCCTGGGCCCCTCCTCTAGGAGGTTCCCACCTCTCCTGGCTGGGCCCAGCGGGCCACATGGCTTGGGCCGGCCTTCTGAACTGGGACTGACTATTGCAAAATACGGTAAGTAGAGATGTTTATTCATTCACTCAACAGTCGCTTCCTAGCACCTATTGTGTGCTGGGGATTTGGGGTGATGGTGTGACAGGCCCCTGCCCCTCACTCATGGAGAGAGGCAGGCATTTCAGAAATCACCCAGACAGATACTGGCTACAAGTGAAGAGAAGCTCTCTGCAGGGAAACAGAAGGGGGCTCTGAGAGATCCTGGGGGTCAGGGGAGTCCTGATCTAGGATTGGGAGGTGGGGGACGTGTGGTGGAGGAGGTGACATTTCACCTAACACCTGAAGGTTGGGCAGGAGTGAGCCTATGGATGGGGGAGGAGCAGGGGCTTTCCAGGCTGAGGGGCCATGTTTGCAAAGGGCCCGAGGTAGGAAAGGGTCTGCAGCGTCTGAGGAATTGAGAAGGGTCCACGTGACATGTGTATAGTGAGAAGAGGGACTACTGGGCAAGAGAGGAGGGACTAGAAGGTCGTCATCCATGGGCAGTGGGCAGACATGAAAGGTTCTAAATGTGGGTGAGATGGGGATGACATGATAGATTTGTAGGGGGCTCACAGTAGAAGCAGGGAGGCCACTTCAGACTTGGGGGATACAAGTTCAAGGGTTTGATCTGTGCTATTTGAAGCAGCATACAAGATGATTCTAGAATCCTTTACTTGGGTGCAATCTCCACCTGTTCCCATTATTCCCAAGGTGACATGATATATAGTTAACTGCTGTCACTTCCCACGTGGGATGGCACAACATGTAAGAGAATACGGGCCTATGGCCATACCACCCTAAACGCGCCCGATCTCGTCTGATCGCGGAAGCTAAGCAGGGTCAGGCCTGGTTAGTACGTGGATGGGAAAATACGGGTGTGTCAGGCCACCATGGAAACTGCGGGTGGACAGGGTAGTTGAGACAGGGGACGATAGTCATGAAGGTCAAGGAGCCTGACTTTTATTACCTGCTCACGGGCCAGGCCCTGTGCCAAGCACCCTGCACACATTATCTCATGTCATGCTCCCATCATCACCCTGCGGTGGAAAATGTGACCAACCCCATTTTCCCCAGGAGGACACTGAAGCTTAGAGTTAACACGGAGGCTCAGCAGTATTGCAAGGTGTGCCCAAGGTCCAGGCTAATGGGTGTTGGCCCAGGACTGGCTTCCCCGCAGCCCACACTCTGCCCCTGGGCATCCTGGTACAGGCATGGCTATCTTTGCCAGATGAGGATTTGGAATGAACCAGCCTCCCTGAATTCTCAGAATTTTTCTTTGTGCGTGACTCCGCTCAGAAATAGAACCACCTGGTGAACTGGCAGATTCAGGGCCTTGGGGATTAGCTCAGAGAGACCGGGGTGGGGAACCAGGCATTGGAGTCTTGTGACCTTGGGTCTGTCTCTTCTTAGAGGTGAGGTTCATATAGCATAAAGTTAATCATTTTAAAGTGAATGATTCAGGGTTTCAGCTGCTGGGTGGGCCATGAGGTGCTCTGTGCCTGCTTCCAAATGTGTCTGTAAGTCAGTGTCACATCCGTCCCCCTAAGCTAACCCTTCCAATCCTAGTAACCCCGTCTTCCATGACGTGGATGTTGGAGATGAGCAAGTTGGTTGAATTGTCTTTCGATTGCTTGCAAATACTATACCCAAAACTGCAGAAAATGTTCATGTATTGTGTACAGGAGAAAAAGACATTAGACCCACCATTGGGAAACCTCTCCATTTCAAAGGATGCCTATTTCATTGAATTATTGAGAAATTTATGATTCAGGGTAGAGACTTCTCAAATCAGAATGGGACAGGTGGAGAAAGTATTTATGGTAAAAGATTGGAAGATGGAAATTTCTATTATAAGCATGACCAGGAGGGTTTATTGAGCATGGCAAGTGCAGGCTGCAATACAGATGGTTCCAATTCCTTATTTGGATTAGAAACATGTGGTATTTGGCCAAATAATTAAAGGGATGGGTGTGGCAAGAATTCTGGAAAGTGTAGAAGGGAAAGGTGAAAAACCAGCCAAATGGTGCATTATTGCAGAATGCGAGGAACTGAAAGAAGGGGATGACTGGGGAATGTTTCCAAAGGATGGCTCTGGTGACAGTCATCCAGATTTCCCTGAGGATGCAGATATAGATTTTTTTTTCCTAAAGATTTTATTGGGGAATTGGGGGAGCGGAACACCATTGAGGAATCAGGGAAGGGGAACAGACAATTTGCTGTCCTTTTGTTCTTCAGTCTAGTTGTGGAGGATGTTGCTTCACTGGCCCATGTTGGTATTATGATCATTGCGCTCTTTCCGGGTGAGGCAGTCACTCGCTGGCCATTGGACAGCCACTCACGGTGGCCCACAGCAGCTCATGAAAGCTCACGCCTGCTGCTGGCCAGCCCCACTGCAGCCTACGCTATCGCTGGCGACTCATGGCAGCCCAGCTCCAGGTCGAGCTGTTGCTCACCATCCTAACTCTAGAGGGCACAGTGTCACTGGCCCTCATGTGGGATCTGAACCGGGGCCCTGCTGCTCAGAGCTGGCGTCCCAAGCCAACTCCCAACCAACACACCACTCCACCGGCCCATGCAGATATAGATTTAAAGGATGTAGATAAAATATTATTAATAACAGAAGACTTAAAAAACATTGGAAATACTGTTTTCAAATCCCAGAACTGGGAGATGGCCATTAAAAAATATACAGAAGTTTTAAGCTATGTGGAAAGTTCAAAGGCTGTTATTGAGAAAGCAAATAGATCGAAGCTGCAACCTGTAGCTTTAAACTGCCTGCCGAATATTGGTGCTTGTAAACTGAAGATGTCAGATTGGCAGGGAGCAATTGGCAATTGTTTGGAGGCTTTTGAAATCGACCCATCAGATACTAAAGCACTGTACCACAGAGCTCAAGGATGGTGAGGATTAAAAGGATACAATCAGGCATTGGCTGATCTGAAGAAAGCTCAGGCGATAGCACCAGAAGATAAAGCTATCCAGGCAGAATTGCTGAACGTCAAATAAGAGACAAAGGCACAGAAAAATAAACACAAGGTAGTTGCTTAATAAGGAATTCAGTTTTGCTTAAATAGCATACATTGATAGTATAAAGGCAATAAGAAAATGTAAGGGTTTTTCATCTGTTATATAAAATCCCTAATGTGTATTCTTGGATACTTCAGTTCTCCATTGCTTGCAGTTTAGGAATACCGATATGAATTGGCTCTTAATTAAAATGTTATAAAAAAATAAAGTGAATAGTTCAGTGGCATTTATTTAGCACATTCACAATGTTGTGCAGCCATCACCACTATCTAGTTCCAGAACGTTTTAATCACTCCCCAAAGAAACCCCGTACCTATTAAACAATATCCTCCCCCAGCCCCTGACACCACTAATTCACTTTCTGTCTCTATGGATTTGCCTGTTCTGGACATTTCATATGAAGGGAATCATACAATATGAATTGTAGTTTTTTTGTGTCTGGCTTTTTTCACTCGGCATAGTATTTTCTAGGTCCATCCACGTTGTAGCATGTGGTCAGTGCTTCATTTCTTTTTATGGCTGAATATTCAGTCTGTTTTTAAATATCTCTGTGCCTTGGTTTTAGATCAGATCCCTTTAGCTCTAAAATAAACCTGAGGATGAAGAAAGAAAGAAAAGAGAGAGAGAAAAGAACAAAAAACCACGAGAGGCTTGACTCTTTACCAAGCTACCGAATTTAGATGTGTGTAAAAATTTCTTTACAAAGCAGTTTGCCATGCAATTTTCACAATAAACCACGTCATCAAATACTTTAACTACTGAAATAATTAGCTACAGGTCGAAATGGTCAAAAGGTTTAATAGCCCATTCTTATGTAGGCCTGAACTTGTTGAATTTCATCCTGAAGCTGCAGAAATTGCCATGATAATGGCAGATTGGCTTTCAGAGGCCAAAATCTATCTACCTGCGAGTGTACGAGGCAAGGCCCTTGGGGGAGGAAGTGATGGTCCAGAATTTCCGAAGAGAGAAAGAAAGTGTCCTCTGGGGTTCCTCCCGTTGCTGCCATTTCCATCACCACCATGTCATCCCCATGTTCTCCCTGAACACCATGGCCTCCACCCCACCATTCGTGCCCTCACCAAAGTCGTCACCACCTCCGTCACCATGACCACCACCGTGACCACCATCGCTGAGATCATCCACTGACTCTACCCTGGTTCCCACCATCCTCCCCTGCCAGCAGGTCATGAGATTGTCTTGCCCACAGCTCTTCTCAGTTCTCCACCTGTGCTGGGGCAGGTATTTCATGGCCCTGGACAGAAGCTGTTTTGTGTGCACAGTGGACATCACTGTAACCAGATCTCTGAGGCTGGATGTTTTAAATTACTTACTGAGCATCTATCTGTTCTGAGCTTACCCTGGCAAGAACAAGTCTCAGGGCGAGAACAATTAAAAAGTGTCAAAACTTTTTTATTATTTTTTGTCCTCTAGGAATTAGCGGTTTGGTTTGAAAGATGCTGGGAAGTAGTGAACGAGTGAGAAAAAGATGAGTAGTGACTGAGGGTCAGTCAGAGAAGCTCTAGGACAGGCACTGCCTGGGGGTGAACAGGCCCAGAGGCGGCAGGAGGACGGGCTCCCTGCAGGGCACGGGCTGTGGGCAGCAGCCTCCCACCCTTAGCACTTATCCCAGTGGTTCACCCAGATGTTTCCAAACCAGCCCTTTAAGATGGAAGCAAGGTCCCCACAAAGGTCTCATGGTTTCCTGTTCCTCCCTCGGTCCGCAGGTCATCGTCATTTGCCTGGTCATCCTGGATGCCCTCCTGGTGCTGGCCGAGCTCATCCTGGACCTGAAAATCATCCAGCCTGACAAGAATAACTATGCTGCCCGGGTATGGTGTCCTCATGTCTTTATCTGCACTGAGGGGTGGGGGGGGGGGAGATAGCACCCGCCTTATTAGAGAGCAGTGGGATTCGGTGCTTTTGGCCAGAGCAGAGAAAATGCCGTCCTTTTTGAATTACAGATAAGCATTTACTTCCCGCAGGAAATTTTCTCATTTCACTTGATGGCTTGGATCTTGGGCTTTCCTAGACCACTGAGCTGTAGCGTGTCACTGACTCCTGAGGGAGGGTCTGACCAGGAGAACAATACTTGCCCATCCCCTAGAGGCAGACCATCTGTTTTCCCTCTTGTAGATGTTCTGATGTTCTAGGCTGGGGCCATTTGGGGGCTGTGCCCACCGTTTACTCCCCGATTCACAGTTCCTGCCTGAGTCCACCTCAGACATTCGCTCAAGGGACAATGGACGCACCAAAAAACATACCACACATGGCCCCTGTCATCAGTAACATGGGAGAAGGCCGGCAGCTGAAAAGTGCGTCCTTACACACCTTTCTTAAAAAAAAACAAAATTCAATTGATAATGCAAAAACATCTTTTCTAGTAGTAAAAGGGAGGGAAGAGAATGTTAAGCATCCTTCCTACTCGTGGCCCCTTTCCTTCCATAAATGGATGAATTTCTTTTCTATTTTTTAAGAGTCAGTAACATACCTGCTATATTCACTGTCTCATGCCTTTCTTTTTCCTCAACTTTTTATTATGAAAAAAATGGCAAATACACATTTTGCTATATTTGCTTTATCTCTACATATATCCACAAACACACCCACATATTTTTGTCTGACCATTTAAATGTTAAGTTAGACATCACACTTCACCCCTAAATACTTTCTCCCACAAAACCATAATAGCATCGTCACATCTTAAAAATTATCAGTTATTCTGTAATATCTAGTAACCAGTTTGTATTCAAATTTCTTTATTCTTTCCAAGCATGTCTTTTATAGTGCTTTTTATTCAAACTAGGATCCAGACATCGGATATTATATTTGGTTATACCTCCTCAGGCTCTTTTAATCTAGAAGAGTCCTCCCACTTTTTTTTTTTCTCATGACATTAACTTTTTGAGGAGTCCAGCCAATCGTCTTATACAGTGTCCCACATTGTGGATTTGTCAGACTATTTTCTCCGAGGTCCTTTAAATTGTCCCTTAATTCCCTGTATTTCCTGTATACCGGAGACGCTGGTGGGCTGTTGTCCCTACACTGTGGCACACTGGGCCAGGGACCCACTATAGTGATGCTCTGTAGGATCACTTGACTAAGGTACGAAGTGCTGAGCTGCTCTCCTATCCAGGGGCACTTTCCCCTTCATAGTTATAAATAATCTGCCCTGTGACACTTCAGTACCCTGCATGTCCTCTTCCCCAAATAGCATCCACTGATGAGCACTGGCTGCTCAGTGAATACACTGGGGATGCAAACTGTCGGTTTCTAATTCTGTCTTTCCTTCTGCACCTAGTAGTTGGTATCCTTTATAAAGAAGAGCTTTCCTATTTTTCTTGTGTGTGCATGTATCACTCGCCATGGACTCGTGGGTTGTTTAGTTTAATGCATTCAGTGTATTATAGTCATAGTCATTTTTTATGGTGTTCAAATTGTCCCAAATTTGGTCACTGTGAGCCTCTTCGAGTGGACTGCTGTGTCTTTTTGACATAACTCCATAGTCTTTTGAGCATTTCCTTGCTTATAGGCCCAAGACGATGTCCCAGCTCACCTGGAACTTCCCCTACCCCAGAATGGAAATGGTTACTTTAGTGAAGACCAGTATTTACAAACCAAGATCTGGGAACTCTTCACTTTCCATCTACCTTGGTGGTCATCTCAGTCAATCCTTAAGGATGATCCTTGGTCTTTTCAATAATTGTGCAGTGCTCCCTAGGGAAGTACCTAATGCATTTGACAAGTGCCCTCTAATGCATATTTCCATTGTTCTACAAACAGTGTAGAAACTCTTTTGTTCTGCAGATGCTGCTGCAGTAAATATCCTTAGGACACTGAGTTTAGCTGTAGGATACACTTCTAGCAGTGGCACTGCTGTGCCTAAAAGCATGGCGGATGTTTTCAATTCCGCCATCACCCAGTTGCCCAGCAAAGAGCAGAGCCCTGGCTGCAGGCCCGAGAACAGCCCCTGTGCTGGGGGGAGTTCCAGGTTGGTCAGTGAATGAAATCTCTCTGGTGACCAGGCGGGTGCACCTGTGACCTCTCACTGTGCCTCCTTGTCCCCTCAGGTGTTCCACTACATGAGCATCGCCATCTTGACCTTCTTTATGATGGAGATTTTCTTTAAACTCTATGTCTTCCGCTTGGAGTTCTTCCACCACAAGTTTGAAATCCTGGACGCCGTCGTCGTGGTGGTGTCCTTCATCCTTGACATTGTCCTCCTGTTCCAGGAGCACGAGTTTGAGGCACTCGGCCTGCTGATTCTGCTCCGGCTGTGGCGGGTGGCCCGGATCATCAATGGTATATCCCCCCGCGCTCCTGCTTTGCAGGAATGGCTAAATGTGGGTGGAGCCTGGGAGTGGCCGCAGAGGCCATAGGCGTGGCCTCTGTTCTGGTGTCCTCCTCCCAGCAGTCTAGAGGAAAGTGAAGTGGTCTGATTTGGGGTCCCACCATGCCACCTCTGTGGCTGCGAATTGACATCAGACAGTGCTCTGAGAGGAAGTACCTTTTTTCCTTTAGGCCCTATTTCCATGGTTATTAGATGTTTATGGAAAGGGTTAGGCTAATCCCTGATTAGTCCTTCCTGGCATGGTTCCTAGAGCACCTTTTGTTTTCAGTTTGGTGTTTCCTGAAGTGTGTGTTCTACCAAACCAAATCCCACCTCGGGAGGGGCACACCAAAAGGGGTGCAAGGAAGCTGGAAAATGCTGTACACAAGGTTCTGCCCCTCTTTGAGAAAGTCACAGCGTGATGAAGGCTCTGAGAACTGGAATAGTTTTCCAAATTGACCGATTTGACACTTTCTGGGGAAATAACACCTATTCACATGCTGTAGAGTCTGGCTGTGGAGCACACACATGGGAAAATATTGTTTTACCATTATTTCAGGTAAAAATCCTATTTCTGGCACACACCCTGTTGGTGCAGGGAGCCTGTCTCAGAGAAGCCATGCTTCTGTGATTTTATGTGAGTGACAGCCAGCTGGCTAACTGTTCAGCTGCCAGTGTAGTCTCCAATGCCTGTCCGTGGACCTGCTGTGTCGAATCACCTTTAGTGAACACTTAAAAAAAAAAAAAAAGTCTGATACAGAAGTCTGGGGTGGAGCCCAGGCAGGGTGTCTGTCTTTGAAACACTGCCAGGTGATTGAGGTGTCCAGCCAGGTTTGGGAATCCCTAGACGTGGGCCCAACACAATAGGCCGTGGGTGTCAGAACGAGTGAGCAACAGTGTGGCCCGAGTAGGGCAGGCCCGTCCTCTGACTTGGAGCCCCTTCCCTTGGAGGCACGGTGGTGCTTCCTGTCACAGCCTCCTGAGCTCCAGTCTGCTTGGCTGTGGAGACCTCCAGGGTGAAGGACCATGTCTGCTCAGATGTGGGGCTATATGAACAGCTCTGCCTGTGGGCTCTGTGGATTTTAGGGGCTAGTTCAGATCTAGGGATTAAAGCCCATTAAGAACATTCATTTGGGTTCTGTCAAAGGAAATAAAGGAAGCTTTTCAGATAGTATTGAAGGTGCTTTTGCTAGTTGATTATTTCATTAATTGGACAGAAAAATGCTCTGCACAGAGGTTATGCACAATTGAGGTAGATAAACCATTAGTGATTATAAAGGACTCTTGAACCACAGTGACCCATTACTCTCATATCACACCATGGTGAGACTTGCTTTTGTGGATGAAAACCAAAAGTCTGGGATTTGTTCATGCATTTTGTCTAAATGGTAGCAGGGCAGAGAAGGACTGGCTAATGCCCATTCTCACATTGCTGTCAAATTCAATGTCATGACTATGAAAGATCTGAAAAAGCCACACAAGACTAGACTGGACTCAGTGACATGACCAAGAACACTGGGGACTGTTGCTGGGCACAGGTGCGGGTAATGGGTCCAGACATGGCCCCTCTTACTTGGAAAGGGGTGGAGTGTCCCCAGTTGCGGCACTGTCTTTTGAAGCAGTGCCCCACTGTGGTGTGGGCATTTGGGAGCCATCAGATAACCCCTCTGTCAGCCAAGAGTGAGGTTATCGCCTGATAACTACACTGGCCACAGCTGTGGGAGGCGGAAAGTTGGGAAAGTGGCAATTCCAGCCCCAAGCTTGATCATTTCTAGCCTTGATTTTTGGTGGCTTTTGTGTCCACTTCTAAGCAGCAGTGCTGCTGTGAACGAGCTCTGTGTTAAGGCGCTTAACGCTCATCTGATTATTTTTAAGGATTTTTCAGCCCTTGGGAACTGAAGTGGTAATGCACAACTAGGTACAGAGTAGCTCAGAAATGGAAAAGCTGACACTCTTAGTTCTAATGCCTTTAAGGAATGAGTTTTACTTGTCTGTCACCTTTCCCAAATGTATACATTTGTAAGGAATACAGATTTTTTTTTTCAAATGGTTAAATTAGAAACCAGTATCGAGACCCTCAATTATTTTTCAGGGATCATTATCTCGGTTAAGACACGTTCAGAACGGCAGCTGTTAAGATTAAAACAGATGAATATACAACTGGCCGCTAAGATCCAACACCTTGAATTCAGCTGCTCTGAGAAGGTAAGAAAACGCGTCTGGGCAAATGCCATCTGTTTGCAGTCCCCTGCCTTCAGCATGGCGCCTGTCACCGCCAGGCTTTTGCTGTGTGGGGCCCTCAGCCTGGGGCGTCCTTCCCCTTGGCTAAGTCTTCCTGTTCTTGTTGGCTTAGGCATTGCCTCCTCCCCAGAGCTCTGCCAGGTGCCTCTCCTCTTGTCACTGCTTTGTCCCTTGGACCCCATCTGACTGTAGCAGCCTCCTTCAGCCGACTGATTCCACAAGGATCAGCCTTCCCTCAGCGTTGTGTCTCTCCCTGTACCTGGGGCTTCTGAGTGATTGTCACGTCCCTCCCTGGTGAGGCTCCGAAGGTAAATTCAGTTATTTGTCTGCTTTTGTAACAGGAACAAGAAATTGAAAGACTTAACAAGTTGTTGACACAGCACGGACTGCTTGGGGAGGTGAACTAGAGGTGTACCTACTCCATTCAGAAGGGAAGACTGCCTCATGGGCTCGTGCCAATGACCAGAAAGACCACTGCCTCTCTCGGGCCGTTTGCAGCACGGGTTTGGTTTGATGGCTTTGCCTCCCTCCCACCCAGCTTGGATCCTGGGGGACCAGTCTTTGGGAAGGCTCTATTTTTTCCTTGGTGTGACGGAGAGCTTCCCATCCCATTCCCACCTGCACTGTGTAACAGATGTATCATAAGCATGTTTCCTCGTGTTGAACACTTTACTTTTGCTTGGAAATGAACAAAGCCGGACAATTACTAGTTGTATATAGAATTTAATCTCATCCAATGTACAGTTTTCACATCTCACATGGATATTAAGGAACCAGTATATATTTCATGTGAATGAGCAGGCTGAAAGACAAAAGAAAAAAAAAGGAAGCTACCTTAGTTACCAGCCCATTCTAGAAAAGCCGTTTCCATTTTCAAGCTGTTCTAAACAGCTTCTCTTACCGCAATTTCTCCCAGGGAGGCTGTTCTCAGATACCCAGCCCCCTTTTCTGCATCATCCAGCTGCTAGCTAACTCCACCTAATTCTGTCACCTGATGACATTTTTCTCAATTACTGTACAATTAATGTATAAAATAAACTCTCTCCTTCCCTCAGGCCCTCCTACTATATTCTTCCCACCGTCAACTGCTTGGAAATTTTCGGTGGCACCTCATACCAGCCCACCAGTTGGAGAGCTAGCTAGCAGCAGTGCCTAGCTCAGAAATATCAATTGGACCCAAAGCTTCACTGCAATTAACATGACATTTGGGGGAAGATCCCCTCTTGAGGCCTTGTACTCAAATTGCATGATTTTATACAGTATTTTGCTATTTTTGTACTCATTTCAATGGGACCTAAGAAGGAAAGAAAACCTAAATGGAAAACAATGAATATTTTAAAAATAACTCATGTTAAAGCAGAGGGTGAGTAAACTGGGTAAAAAGCCCTCCATGCCTGTGCTCCTTCAAAGTCTGTTCTCTTTATCATCCTCCCAAAGGTGCAGTTTGGTTTCCACATATGATCTATGTGTTGAGAGTTTGGGAAATGACCCAAGACTGGATGGTGCCCCCTTCTAAAGTCAAACCAAGCAAAATCAAATTTCCAAAAGGAGGGAAATGAGTGGAGAGGGGAGGCGTGCTGGTTTGGGGGCAACCTCAAGGGTCAGAAGGATAACAAAATGGGATGTTTCTGAGGGACCCTAGGACCCTCACCCACTCTATTCTAGAGGTGTGGCCTAGTTTCCTTAATTAACGACTTACGTCAAACAAACGGGAAGAAGAAATTAAAGGGCAGCTTGGCATTGATGGTTGGCCGAGCTCTGAAGCCTGCCTCTGCAGGTGCAGACACATCCACAAAAGTAACCGCAGTGGAAAGAAGAATCGTCCTTTCATTTCCTGAGTTGGTCTGTAATAAAGTCAGAGTGATGCAAGCTTTGCTGTCCAGCATGTTACCAGGATAACAGATGGGACATCTTTCATTCTCTTCCTTACCCGGCCACTGTCAGCTCACAAATCGAATAGGTGCAGGACTAACAAGCCATTAACTCGGATGACAGTTTTTACCCAGGTTGTCCTAACATATCAATGTCAATCACAACTCAATTTCCACAAGAATTTTAAAGATCTAAACAAGAATGGTACTGTGAATAAAACCATTGTCAGTGGAGTTTTCTCTAAGTGAAAGGAAATGATTGCTAAACTGTTTAAGAATCCAGATTGTTTAAATTTTAATTACAATCTTTTTCACAAAGTAATAAATTTCACTGTCACACCTGAGTTTTGTCTGGACTTGTGTCTTAACCTACACCTTTATTCTTTCTACTTTTTATTTTTAAAAGAGTTTATTTGAGCCAAACTGACAACTTATGTCAGGGAGCAAGGTCTCAGATGTTCCCTTAACTTTTATTCCTTGAAACAAAAGCTCAGCCTACCTCAGGAAATGAGGATGAAATTAGATTTGCAGTTACATTGACTATTTTAGCCTGTGGGTTCAGTAAGGATCCGTACTTAGTCCACTTCACTTCTATAACCAAAGCCACTGGGAGCTGGCAAGAATCCTGCAAAACAAAATGCTATTAATCAATTTGAAATATTATATAAGCTCAAGTCAAACTTAATCTGCAGTTCAGAGTTTTAATTATAAAATGTTTCACCTATTACAAAATGTTCTGAAGAGAAGAATGAGGAGACTCTAGAAGTTCAGATAAAAACTGCTTAGAGAAAGCACATATTTTAAAGTACTCAATGCTCCAAAAATATTTTAACACCTAAAGCACTGTTTTTCCATCCCCCATTTCTAAAGAGGCCAGCATTACTTGGGAGTTGTAATCCCAGTCCCCAGTGGTGGAACCTTCAGGGCCTTACCTGCTCGAACTTCACCTACCTGTTTACATCTACCTCAGAGACACTTCAGGAAAGAAACTGGCATTGGGTGGGGAGGGGGGAGAGAGGCTCGTATTAACATGGTTGCAGTCAGGTTTAATTTCTGTCTATTATTAAAATGTACTTAGAGGAAATGAAAGTGCCTTCTGATCTGATTTCGTCATTTGGTAATTAAGATGTGACACTGGGGTATACAGGCAGGGTCTGTAAGTTGTTAAAGATATTACTACCAACTCCACATGAACTGAGAGCACTGGTGCCACAACTGAGCTGCCCAGTTCAGGCTGCGGTGGGAGCTGGGCCTGAGGCCTCTGCCCCAAGTTTTTAAAAATACATCTCATCAGGGCATGAAAAGCTAGCAAGGCCTCCTAAATTTGGTGCCTGCCAAAAAGGCACTGGTGGAATTCCCTAGCTTGGAACTGCCTTTTAAGAAATTTGCAGGCTGAAAGATCCTTGAGAAGAGCGTGTTATTAGAAGATGCAACATGCAGCTGGCATACACTGAGCTTAGCTGATGCTCTCATGCCTGCATCGATCTACCTGGGTTTCCTGGAAGGTTGGTACAGAACCCGTTCCAGGACCTCCGAGCTCCCTGCAGACAAAGCTAATATTCATGTTGCTGCCTCTCCCAGCATATGTTTTCCCCGAGGGAGAAGGAATAACTGGATGCCTTACCCCATCTCTGAGAAGCCAGAAGCAGTTTGCCTGGCGCACTGAGGCGGCAGAGAGGAGCCAAGACTTAGCAACCGAACAGCGGGGACTGAGAAATCTCAGGTCTCTGCTGGGGAGGTCGAGATCAGGACTCTGAGCTGGTCCTCACCCCCACTGTCCCCAGGCTATAAATATGCTAAGCAGATAATGAGAGGCCTGAAGAAACAGTGACAAGAAAAAGCTGGGCAATTAAAGGATAATCGCCTCCAGTGATGGGGGCCAGCCCACACTCTGACTGAGACAAAAGAAAAAGGTGGGCAGAAGAAACCCACGTGATCGGGAACCTATTTGTAGGATGTCAGCTTCCATTAAACTCTTGGGAACTTTGGAACTGAAAGCTCTCACATGTGGGCTGCCTTTAGAGACCAGGGAACAATGAGTGGGGCAGCTCTGTGGATGGGAGGGGGTCTCATCGCTGGGAGGCCATCCTCACACTCGCCTCTCAAATCCAACAGTGCCAGCAGGAAAAGTCAGGATGGTGACGGGAGCTGGTCCCCCCTTATGCAGTGACCACCAGGCACCATGAACAGTACCTCATTAACAACCCCATGAGGTTGGTACTGTAGCTATCATTCCCGTTTCACAGATGAGGAAACGGGCTCAAATTCATAAAAGCAATGGCCAAAGGCCACAGTGTTAACAAGGAGCAAAATCAGCATTCAAGTTCCAGGCCTGCCTGCAATGCCTGCCACACACCCCCCCACCCCCCCCACCCCGCCCTCCTCAGGGGAGGAGGCACCAGCAGGTGGCTCACTTCCCCCCATGCCCTTTACCTTCACGTGGAGTGCCTGGATGACAAAGTGGACGGGCACCCAGTCCAGCACATCCTGGGGCCGGGAATTTCCAAAAGAGGCCACATAATCTGGGAAGTTCTGGCCCTTGAGCAGGCTCTTCGCCTTCTCCACCACAAGCGGACAAGTGGTAGCGCTGGTCAGTCTTTGGGGATGGAAAAAGGTCAATCGAATGAGGCTGTTGTCCACATGGCGGTTTTTACAGGTCTCAACAGTACGCGGGCTCTCCCCAGTTTTTCTATTTTCTCACTCTCTAAAAAGGGGATTATTTGAAAGAAGCCAAAGTGTCTCTAACTTTAAGAAATCTTGGTTGGCCAGGGAGATGAATCCAAAACAATGTTTACCACATCATGTTCCATTGAGAGGTTATGTATAAGTTCCGTGGCCAAAAGTCTGAGAAATACTGCACACCCATGTCCCTACTAAAACACACTGGGTGAGTGGGTGGTGGGGTAAATGATGAAAGGGGAAAGAGCCAAATCTTCATTTTTCACAGTGGGAGCTCAAGAAATAATTCATAAAGCCAAAATATCAAGAAATAGCATTATGTGCAGGTTATTTAAAGATCTGGGGGTAAGTCTCCCCCCAAAAAAAATCAGCTCCAATAGTTAAAAGTGATTGCCTCTGGAATAAATAAGGGTAAGGGCTGCTGTTTTTATAACAAGCCATGTGGAGCTGTTTGACATTATGTACATGTTTGATACTAAAAAGGTAAGTTAAAGAGATCGCATCCAGGCTTCCGCTTACTGGGCCTGTGTGCTGGGTACAGTATACAGTATATTAAAGTTAAGAAACACAGGAAGGACCTTCAGGAAAAATATTTCTGCTGTGAACTCAAGTGCTGCGGAACCCTCAAAACAAAACAAAACAAAACAAAAACAAAGCCTTGAGTTTTTTCCCCTGCCACATCTGATTTTAAAAAAGGTTGTAACAGTTTCCCTTTGAATCATGACAAATGGTTTATGGTTCTGAGAATTAAAATTAGAAAAAAAAAATGACATCATTATAAGGTATTGTCACTATTGTTATTATCCATTAAGAATGATGATAAGCTACATGGTGGCTTTCATAGGACTCGTCAGCTGATGCAGAGGTTTGATTAAAATGGGAAGGATAGGAATGTTTTATTTCCTGAGCAACACAAGTTCCAATAGGAAACAAGTTCCTCCCTTACCTTAGTTTACAGCCAGATTGCATACTGGAACCAAATAGCACTGGGGCCCGGATTCCCTCTACTGCTAAGCAGTCTTGGTCAGCTGTGCTACGAAGAATGGTAAGTTGTCCATATCTATTCATGGTCTGAATAATCCCAGACATTCATAGAAAGTTAAGGGACAATCACCCAGTACGAAAGCAGTCTCATTCTCAGGGGACAGTGTTGCATGTGTGACATGAGATGTGAGACCCAAATATCCCTGTGCTGGACCTCTGGCATTTTGTCAGCTGTTTCCCGGGAGAGGATACAAAACAGTTATAACTATTTTCCTTGATTACTAGATCCTCAGAAGAAAAAGCCTCAGAAACTGGCCGTTCAAAATTAACTCCAAGTTTTCAAAATCACTAAATTTGAATCTCTATTTAATTTGAGTCTCTATTTAAGTGTGAAATTATATACATGTTAAATGTCAATCCGCTTTTCTGTGTTAAGATTTCGTTACAGAACACTGACATGTTCCTGGGTCAGGATGTTTCACCCCTAACCGCCAGTCTCCCCACAGCCCCACTGGCTGCGCAGGCAGACCCACCCCCCACCGGAGCCACCCAGGGGAAGCTCTAGCCGAGACTGGTCTCTTCAGCCCACAGGACCCTCAGCGATAAAGAGAAGTGCGGCTCACGCACGTGGACAGGGAAGTCAACCTTCTCCACAGAACCGAAAAGGATATCCTTTGTGCGGCTGAAATCCGGCAGCTAGTGGGAGCCCCACAACATAACCAGGGTTTCCATTGAGAGGAACTGGCTTTGTGTTTTGCTGAAAGACAATGCAGAAATGCCCACAAAGCATTTTTTTTTTAAATAAGGAAGTGGCAGGGGGCAGGAATGAAATGCTTCTCATAATAAAATCTGGGATTACCAACCAATAAAAGGATCGCTCCCCCTATTCAGAACTATAAATATATCTGCCGTGTAGGATTACACCACTCTGAAAAGAACAAGCACACAGACAAGAGAATCCTATTCCCAAATGGAAAAGGATACAAAGTCCCTTGCAAACCCCACATGCTACGTGCGAGCCCTTTGTTCTGTACAAGGGGTCAGATTATGTTAACACTTCTAAATTGAGATGTTTTTTCACTAACAAGTTAGGGTTTCTTTTTACTTGGCAATTAAATACTTGTAAAAAAAAATTTGACCAAACTTACCTGAATAAAATGAATTTCAAACTTTTGCTGAAGTGGAATCATTGCATTGCTAACGGTCCCCAGAAGGAGAGACAGATAGGCTTTTGTTATTTCACCTGCATCTGTGTATGTGAGGCTGTACTTTACCTGAAAACAAAAGGACACTACAAATATACACCTGTTCCCATGACATTTCCGCAGCTGTGTTAACAACTCAAATATACAGAGGAGGCAAATCCTTTCCCATTTCGCCACTTGTTGAAGCTTTTCTCTCCTGTGCAGTCGGGTTACGGGAGGTGTTATATCAGCATCCCCCCAACTGACAGGGTCATTTGAGCCTCTCTGGGCCCAGTTACAGAAGTCCCAAATCGGCTGATCTGGACAGAATAAAATCAGTCTACTTCTGCAGAGGAAATGTGTTCAAACAAAACGATAGCCACAGCAACAAATTCTGATGTATTCTTGCAAGTCATTAGGTTTGTGGAGAAAAATCCCACATGATTATTTCAGAGACAAGGAAGCACGCTCTGATGGGATGGCATCAAGGCAGGCAGGAGGCCAATCAAGATAAGCAATCCCACAGGGTGGGCCAGAACCCCCTGTGGGGGGATGTCCAGCTAACCAGCACTTCAGGACAATGAAGCTTGAGTCTGCCACTGGAGCTTTCAAAGCCAAACCGGGCACCTACCTCTAGAACAACGTTAGTACAGATTTTAACAGGCCCAGCCTCGAGAAGAGCCTGCTTCAATACGTCCGTGTCTTCCAGTCGGGTTAGCGTTTTATTTAGAGATTGAATGACAATGGACTGAACAGTGATCGGGACCTGCAAAGTGAGGAAGTCCTATATTACTAAAGACACACTGCAACAGAAGTGAATGGGTTCAAATATCGAAACACTTGAAACACACCTCCACTGATATGCTGCCAAGTAGGGGAAAGCATGCTATAGAACCAGAGGCATACTGTTAAGTCCTCATTTGCAAAAATACAGACATTTATATGCAAATACATTTGCACAGTCATACGGAAAATACTTGAGAAGGATATAATCAAAACTTTAAAAGTGGTTACCTCTGAAAACATATGCTCACACAAAAACTTGTACATGAATATTCACAGCAGCATTTATAATAGCCCAAAACTAAAAACACCCCAAATATACATCAACTGATAAATGGACAAATAAAATATGGTCTACCCATACTAAAGAATATTATTCATCCATAAAAATGAAGTACTGATACATGCTATAAAGCACAACTGATGAATCTTGAAAACATGGTGCTATATGAAAGAAGCCAGACACAAAAGGTCACATTTACCAGAAACATCCAGAAAAAGCAAATCCAGAGAAACAGAAAGTAGATTAGTGGCTGCCAGGGGCTGGGGAGAGGGTTGGGGGAGAATGAACAGTGAATGCTGATGAGCACAGGGTTTCTTTTTGGGGTGACAAAAATGTTCTAGAATTAGATAGTGGTGATGGTTGCACAACCATGTGAATACATTAAAAACCATGGAACTGTATGGTTTAAAATGGTGAGTTTTATGGTATGTGAATTAGATTACACACACACACACACACACACACACACACACACAC